CGGATCGACCGGTCCGAGCCTTCGCCTCGCTCGATTCGCGGCAGAAAAATTCCTATGGTCACGCAACGAGCCAAACGAGGCGCGAGTTACCCTTAAGAGAGACTCGTTCCAGGCTTCTTCCTATCGGCCGCTTCGCGGGAAGGGTGATCCATCAGGGAGCACAATACGAGTCCTCGAACCGGCGATCGTTGGAAACCATTAGAAAGAAAAGCGTTTCTTTATAAAGACTCCGCACGACGCTGTATCAGCCTTACCTTTTCGGATCGCGGCTCAGCCGTTGACCCCTAGCGGCGGCGTCACGAACCATTTCGTGTCTGCCGCGCACCACAAAATGGCCGCGGGCACCGTCATTTCCTAGGCTTTCTGGGTTACTTCGAAGCACTGTGGCTCGGTTAAGAAAAATCGTACGATTATGAAATAAGATTGGTTTTATAGCAGGAGGTTAGATCTATACGGTGATATCGATAAAAGTATTGAGAAAAATTATTTTCTATGCAATATTGCTGAAGAGGTAACAAAAATAATTGAAAATTTCGTGGTTATGGTGAAAGAAAAAATAGCTGTGTACACTGTGGTTAGGTTAGGTTTTCTGGGTTACTTCAAAGCACTATAGCTCAATTCAAGAAAATCGTACGATTATGAAATATGATTGGTTTTATAGCAGGAGGTTAGGTCTCTGCATGGTGATATCGATAAAAGTATTGGGAAAAATTATTTTCTATGCAATATTGCTGAAGGAGTAACAAAAATAATTGAAAATTTCGTGGTAATGGTGAAAGACAAAATGGCTGTGTACATTGTGATTGGTTTTATAGCAGGAGGTTAGATCTATACGGTGATATCGATAAAAGTATTGAGAAAAATTATTTTCTATACAATATTGCTGTATGGATAACAAAAATAATTGAAAATTTCGTGGTTATGGTGAAAGACAAAATGGCTGTGTACATTGTGATTGGTTTTATAGCAGGAGGTTAGGTCTCTGCATGGTGATATCGATAAAAGTATTGGGAAAAATTATTTTCTATACAATATTGCTGTATGGATAACAAAAATAATTGAAAATTTCGTGGTTATGGTGAAAGACAAAATGGCTGTGTACACTGTGATTTTCTAGGTTTTCTGGGTTACTTCAAAGCACTATAACTGGGTTCAAAAAAATCTTACGAATATGAAACAAGATTGGTTTTATAACAGGAGGTTAAGTCTATACGGTCATATCAATAAAAGTATTGAGAAAAATTACCATGTCTATAATATAACAAAAATAATTGAAAATTTTGAGATTTCGGTGAACAACAAAATGTCTGCTCGTTCTGTGATTTCCTACGTTTCCTGGGCAACTTCAGAGCGCTATATTTAGGTTCCTAAAAATCGTACGATTATGAAACGAGATTAGTTTTATAACAAAAGGTTAGTTCTATACAGCGATATCGATAATAGTGTTGAGAAAAAATGACTGGCTATGTAGTGTAACAAAAATGATCGAAAATTTCGTAGTTACGACAAGTGACAAAATGGTGGCACAGCTTTCGGAATTCAGAGTTTCTCGGGTGATTTTAAAACGATCTGTGACTAAGCAATACTCTAGGAATAAATAAAGTAAGTTTAATATTGATATTGACAAAAATATTGGAAAAGGATTGGTATATTTTTCCAAATATGGCTGAAAATTTGTGGAAAATTTTTAATAGAGTTCTTGAAAGTTTTTACAAGTTCGAAAGATTGGATCATCCTTCTTCGCTACTTACGCTCCAGAGAGATGTCACACAAAGAGTGCCTAGAAAAAGTCACCAGGAATGTTTAGACCACCCATCGCGAGGGTCTACGATGTTGTCAATTGCCAGGGAGATTGTCGTGACTGGAAAATGTCGTCCCTAGTGCGTTAACTCATTCGCACAAAATAAGACATGCTTGAGTCTCTCTTTCGTATCAAAATCTAAGCAACGCAAAATTTTCTACGCAATTTTTGTTTCTTAATGTAACCATTACTTCTTTGTGATTCTTCCTTTCGTTCACCAATCACTTCACTAGTTATATTCAATGACAAATTCTACACAAAATAGTCGAATATTTATTTCTTTAAATGCCTTAAATTTCTTAAACTTTTTCTTCCATTTTTGAAAATTTTTTTCAAAAAGACTATTACACTTTTTGATGCGAGAGTAATTAGAAACAGAAAGAGAGAGACACGAGTATTCTAATTTTATTTTTATATTTATATTCACCTCATTACTTCCTTATATTATCATTTTAACTTACGCTAGAAAGACGTGCCACGCACGTCGAGATGCTTTCGTTCCAAAATCGCCAGCGACGTGTACACCACGTCAATGTGACACCATACCACGTGTTATACTGTAACGCAACCGTGAATTTATTGGTAGCGCAATTGGTTAACTTTTATAATTTTTGTATTAAATTATATAAAGTATTTCATATTAATTTACAAATGGCAATCGTAATTTACTCGCAAATGGTTGCTATGGAAGGCAGAGCCTGGTCTCCTGATGACCAGATCCTAGATCCTCCGCATCTGTGCTGAACGAGAAGACACTCGGGGATAGAGTGGGCTGGAGCTGGACGGAAGCGAATGATTACTGGAAATGGCAGAGGGAAGGTTTAATTAGAGGCCAGAGAGAAAGGAACGACGGTGGTGGAATTCGCGAGGGCGAAGTCGTATTTCTGTGAATGGACTCGGCTTTTGTGGGTGTCCCGAGAGGGCGCCGTGAAATGGCGCCGAATTGCACAACGCGAACTTTTAGATACATGCTCCGTGGATGTAATAACACGTGTTGGAGAACGGCCACAAAGGATCGAGGTCTTCCGCTTTCCGGACCTTTCGTGGAAGCCTTGACCGCAACGGGATGATCGTTTCATTTCGCGAGAACGCATTAGGGCTCTGCTGTCTCTCCTCTCTCTTTCTCTCTCTCGCTCCGTCAGTGCCCAGCTGGAGCGAGGACATAAAGTTCGCGTTGTAAATGTGGATTTATGGCGGAACAACGATAAAATCACGATGTTAACGAAACTATAACATCGCGGATTTTATTTTTTCCTGCTCTCACTGGTGCTTCGCGAGGTGTGCGTAAATGTTTAATTTTTTGAATCGAAGATTGTTCTTTTGTTTTATTTCTTCTTTTCTTTGGAGCAGTTTTTAGCGTTGTTTATTTGGCAGATGTAATTTTTGTGATTATTTCTGAGGGAATAATTTTGGGAGGCTTGACAAGGAAATTTTATATATTATGTTTATATGTAATTTTATAGTTAGCTCGCAATTTTTATTTCTTGTTTTTGAATAATAGTATTATGTACCAAAAATTGTACTCAGTATTACAGTAAAGTGTATAAGAAAAATTATATTTATGTGTGTAGTACAAATTAAAAATTCATCGGTAAACCAAACCAAATTATTTACCCAAATTTCGTCATAAAAATAAGAATTCCTATTGAGTCATCAATAATCCAAACCAAAATTCATTTGCTGCGGTATTAATCAAAATTGTACAATTGACATTAAAATTCTTGTCCATCCGCAGATAATCTGTATAAAAATTAATTTTCTGCAATATTTATTGAAATTTCGTCATAGTATTATAATTTACGATCTTGTCTTTCCTCCAACAATCCAAACTAAAATTAATTTTCTGCAATATTAATCGAAATTTTACAATAAATATTGAAATTTCTGTCCACCCACGAATAATAGAAAAGCAAAATTAATTTTCTACAATATTAATTTAAATTTCGCCATAATAATTTATGATCTCGTCTATCCCTCAATAAACCAAACTAAAATTAATTTTCTGTAATATTAATCGAAATTTTACAATAAATATTGAAATTCCTGTCCACCCACGAATAATAGAAAAGCAAAACTAATTTTCTACAATATTAATTTAAATTTCGCCATAGTAATTAACGATCTTGTCTTTCCATCAACAATCCAAGTTAAAATTAACTTTCTGCAATATTAATCAAAATTTTACAATAAAAATTGACATAGGCAGTCTAAACCAAAATTAATTTTCTGCAATATTAATAGAAATTTTACAATAAATATTGAAATTCCTGTCCACCCACAAACAATAGAAAAGCAAGATTAATTTTCTACAATATTAATTTAAATTTCGCCATAGTAATTTATGATTACTCGTCTATCCCTCAATAAAGCCAACTAAAATTAATTTTCTGTAATATTAATCGAAATTTTACAATAAATATTGAAATTCCTGTCCATCCACAAACAATAGGAAGGCAAAATTAATTTTCTACAATATTAATTTAAATTTCGCCATAGTAATTAACGATCTCGTCTATCCCTCAATAAACCAAATTAAATTAATTTTCTGTAATATTAATCGAAATTTTACAATAAAAATTGAAATACCTGTTCACCCACAAATAATAGAAAAGCAAAATTAATTTTCTACAATATTAATTTAAATTTCGCCATAGTAATTTATGATCTCGTCTATCCCTCAATAAACCAAACTAAAATTAATTTTCTGTAATATTAATCGAAATTTTACAATAAAAATTGTAATTCCTGTCCATCCATGGACAATCTAAACCAAAATTAATTTTCTACAATATTAATTTAAATTTCGCCATAGTAATTTATGATCTCGTCTATCCCTCAATAAACCAAACTAAAATTAATTTTCTGTAATATTAATCGAAATTTTACAATAAAAATTGTAATTCCTGTCCATCCATGGACAATCTAAACCAAAATTAATTTTCTGCAATATTAATAGAAATTTTCCAATAAAAATTGAAATATCTGTGCATCCACAGACAATCCAAACGAAAATTAATTTTCTACAATATTAATTGAAATTTCGTCATAGTAATTAACTATTTCGTCTATCCCTCGACAAAGCAAATAGAAATTACATGAAATTTCGCGATAAAAATTGAAATTCCCATCGATCCACCGTCAACCCCAAACGGAATTCCCACGTTCACGAATATTAACCGGAATTTTCACCCTGTTACAGATGCACATCGAAGTACGTAGGAGAGTACTGTCAGCATCTGAACCCGTGTCACACGGGGCCACGCTGTCAGAACGGTGGTTCGTGCAGGGTGAAGGAAAGTAGCGGGGGTGGCACACCGTCGTTCGCCTGTTCCTGTCCTGTCGGATTTACCGCGAGCCTGTGCGAGATACCGATCGAGAACGCATGCGACTCATCGCCGTGTCTGAACGGTGCCACTTGCAATCTGAAATCGCTCCGTGAATACGTTTGCACCTGCGCCACTGGATACACGGGTAAGGATCTGTTAGTAATTTAATTCTTCGAGCCATCGGTGTCCCCGATCGGGCCCCGAGTGACGAAGCGTTTAAGAGATACGAATTCTCGATAAACGCGTCGGATATGGCGTCTCTCTCCCTCTCTCTCCCTCTTTCCCCCGCCCTTTCTCCTCCTTTTTCCCCCAGTACCTTCCGAAAAATAAAGACGGGGGAAAAAATGCACGTCGGTAACGAGGCGCGAGATGTTATCGTGGAAAAAATCGCATGCATAATTGAGTCGTCCTTCCGTCGCGGTATTTGTCGCGGAGCTTTACGGTCACGGGCCTGTTACATCGTGGAATCTCGGATATTTCGCAAGCATCTCGATTATCGTACCCGCGACACCGATGCGATTGTACGTTTAAATTCGGATTCAGCCGGCGGTTTTCGAAGTCGCGTCAAAGACGCGTCGCGAATTTGCATAAGCTCCGGCCGAATTTACATTTTAATTTTGCGTTAACGGTCTGCGCGCTAACGGGAACCATTCCTGTCGCGCCTTGCGCGGGTTTCACGCTGCATTTTATCTCGATCAACCATACAGGGATCGGCTTTTTCATCCGTCCAATTATCAGCAGAGATCGAGATCGAATTTGAGAAGAAATCGCGAATTAAATATCGCTCGTTTAAACCGTGACAGGACGTCCAGTCGTTTAATCTCGGAACTTAAAATTTGATCGTGGTTATAGGCTCCGCGATGTAAAATACAAATAATCGCGTTGAAAATCGTATAACAGTATTCGAAACGTGTAGAAAGAGGAGAGAAAAATTGTCCCAGACGTTGTATTTCGTTTTTATTAACGAGATTACAAACGATCCTTGTCAGAGAAACGCGAATCTATCGAGGAAATGCGCGCTGCGCGAGTAGCGGCGGGAGTAGTTGCCGCGACTGACGGCAGAGGGCAGACGCGAGTTACGGCGCGCGACGCTAGAGCCGTGGACGGGCGCGCGGTGCATTACCCGCGGCAGCGACGAGTTCTATCGATTCACGTGGGCCGGGTAGCAAGGCTGGCGATAGAGGGAACGATAATCTCGGTGTAGCAATCGCGGTATTCGCATTGTCTCGCGTATTACCAGGCCGGGGCCGGTATAAGTCGAGGATAGCAACTGGCGTGATTTCGTATCATCGACAGCGGTTAAAAATAAATCTGGACGAGCGAACCGCGGCTATGAATCACTCGCACGTCCACTATAAATCGATCAATTAGAGAGATAACCGCGGTAATCGATTCGCTCAAAGGCTGTGTCGCGTTTCCAGTCGTTTCGCGAGCAGTTCGAACGAGCGGATGGCGAATTTGTTCGGATCGCGGAAGCTGCGCGAGTATTTTTTATGGACCGGCCTCGCGCGGGGGCACGTGCTCTCTTGACAAATAAATCGGAGGGTAGCGGGAATTCGGTGGGACAAGGAGGTTCAAGGTGGAACCGGCGGAGGGGAAAGAGAGGGAAGAGGAGAAAGAGAGAAGTTTGTGCCAGTCGGATAATTGGCGGAGAGCAATGCGGCATTTCGCTGTGGCGGTACCTTTGGCCCAGTGGTTCTCAGGTATCACTCGATGCTTCTTAGCCTATTACTTCCTTTTTCTTCGCAAATTCATAGTACTAGCTCAGTATATCGAAGAATTACTATCACGATTATCAAATTAAATAGAAAATTCCAAACTACTGTCAATTCTGACAAGTATTCCAAGAACACTGGATTTCCTCACGTTTGCAACTTGTATTTACCAATGCAGGAATAAATATTTAAAAATTCTTTTAAAATATTTTTCTAATTAGGGTTTTTATCTATTATCTTGTTATTTTATCTTGGTGACCTAAGTGTTATTTATTTATACGTTTGCAATATAGGATAGATTTTAGATTTTAACGAATGAGAATTATGCTTTTTCACATGTAAGTAAGATTCTATGTATAGGAGTTGTAAAGGATTAATTGTGAGATAGAAATTCGAATGTTCTTCGCGATGACGCCATCTTGTCAGCCGATGAAATTCAAGAACCACTGGCTCTTAGCGGGTGCACCGTGGAGATGGGGAAGCAAAGACATCTTAGATGCAGGAGAGCGAGCAGCGACTCTGGTAATTAGTTCCACTAATCAGTGACCTCCGAGAAGGGAGGAATCGGACTTTAGGTAGACAGCTGGACTTGGCCAGCGTCACCGCCATCTTAAACGATATCTCTCCTCGCGAATGGACACAAACCAGCATGAAATGCCGTACAAATTCATCCCTGTCCTCGCGTTGATCTCTATCGACGGGACTCGGGAAAATCACGGTATACCCGTGACTGTATCACGTCCATCTTCTAGGTTAGGGTCGATAGCCGACGATTTGTTCCTTTAATTGCGTAATTAATAGGATGTGCTGCATTCACCTCGTGTTAAAACGATATAAAAATATCAATCTAAATAAGTTTAAAAATAAAATAAATAAAATAGGGTAGATTAACTGTGCTATGTGAATTTTTAATTTCGTCAAATATGGTAAAGTAATTATAGTAAATTAATTTTTCTTTTAATGATGTATAGTATAATTAAATTTCTCATTCAATAATACAATAAATTAGTCTTTAATTTAGTGATATTTACTGAGTCAATAATAGTGAGTTAATTTTTATTTAATAAAACATAGTAGATGAAATTTTATTTTTTAACGGTTGACGAATTTTTATGTTCTTTTATTTTTTCATTTAAGTCGATGATTATTAATTTTTAATTTGGTCAAATATATTAAGGTAATTATAGTAAATCAATATTTATTTTAACGAAGTATAGTATAAATGAATTTCTGATTAAATAAAACAGTAAATTAATCTATAATTTAGTAATATTTACTGAGTCAATAATAGTGATTTAATTTTTATTTAATAAAACATAGTAGATGAAATTTTATTTTTTAGGAATTGGCGAATTTTTATATTCTTTTATTGTTTCATACTTATCGATGATTATATTTTTAAAATTTATGTACAGTATATTTTCTACTTCTTAGATATTGCTTTAAAAATATTTCCTTTTGAGAATCCGTCCTGTAAGCTAGAAATGTTCTTGCCGCATTGTCAGTTTCTGTGCACATATGTTAATTCTCAACGCCAAATGCGTTACGTCTGCAGGGGTTACTCCGTACCCGTATTACAGGGTTGGAATGCACCCTTCAGCCTTCTTCTTTCCTTTCGATCCCCTTCCGTTCGTTTCGTAATTTTTTTTCACCAGCAGCTGCCAAACCTTCGTTTATCTACTTTATTGAGCAGCTCGAAGATAGGATTTCTGTGTACGTGAATCAGTTTTTAAATGTGCAGAGAGGTATCGGGCCCTGGGGTCGTGCAAGTACACGTCTGCCTCTTAAATGTCGTTACTCTCCTGCAGGGGGTTCTTCGAGCTGAACGTAACCTGCATCGGGAACCAGTGCCGACACTTTTCAGAGGATTGAAAGCACAAAAGGGATATTTAGGAGACCTTAAGCTTCGATAATAATTGTTATTAAAATTTTAAATTACGTGCAAATACATTTTTCATAATTATCATAATTTCGTTGGTCGGAAAATAATAATATATCCACGTTAGCGTAACACGGTAATGAAAATTTCATTTTCCAGAGGATATAAAGGAACTAATTTTAATTATCATACTCTTTTATAAATAGAGAAAAATATTTCTGTCAATTTTGAAATTTTATTTATGAAAATTAACCCTCTGCACTCGTTATAGGAAAATAGCAATTCGAAGACTTCCTGTTATAAGTAAATAAGAATTTAGATACATATTAATATATAGAATTATTTTATTTCGAAACTTCCTGTATTTTTATTTTAAATTTAATATATTAATTAACATCGATCTTTGAAATTTGATTAAATGGTGACTGACAAAAGATTCTATCCAAACACCCCTGTTATTTCCAAATCTGATATAAAAAATTCGATATTAAATATAATTTTCTTCTTCACTGTTATCTTTTTTTAAATGATTAACCCTCTGCACTCGAGAGGCGTCTCTCAGTCGCCATTTAATCAGATTCTAAAGATGGATATTAATTAATACATCAAATTTACAATTACCCATCAATGCATGGAATGTCGAAGTAAAATAATTCTACGTCTCAAATTGCATACGATTTTTTATTTATCGTTGTAACACTAGAACTACCGATCTTTAGTGGGCACCTAACTATAACGTGCACAGATTATAGTAATTTTAAGCGATACGATGAATATGAGCGAATATATCGATTACAGTTCTTTCTTAATACGAGTTGATACCAATTTTATTCTTAAAGCAGGTGTCTGTGTTCGGTGATTGCAAAAAGGAAAATTCTGAGACCAGTCATTTTGACTGGGTTGGTAGTTCTAGTGTTAATCATATTGAAAATTGAATTTCTTTGTATTTCGATTTAGAAGATGAAAAGGAATTAAAATATTGCCGTAGTTGGAGGTCGAATTTTCTCGTACAGTGAATAGTGATAGAATATTTTTACTTCGATCTACGCGAACGCTCGTCACTCAACTAGGAACCCCACAATTCACTTCACCCTGACTCCCACACGCTACCAACGTCGCTCAAACTTACGACACACCTCCTCAAACAATCAAAGTACCCATCGAGTCTCGTAAACGTCAAAGTACTTCCTTTCTCGAAATTCTAACGCTCACACGCGTGCGCGTGCACAGTGATACCTACACGTTTCTCAAACGTTCCTCTAAAGCAACCGGAACCTGCGTCAAACGTGTAACTTAC